CAGGTTCACTACCTCTTCATTGCCCCAACTTTTCTTTTCCCTCCCTTTCTTCTGTGACCCCGAAGCCATAGAACTTTGGTGAGAAAGAGGGATGAAGACGAATTTACGCTCCAGATTCCGGAAATATTCAGCACAAACTGCGCAGCTGCTCTGAATCACAACCAACCAACACTGAGAATAGATTGAAAACTCAACACTAGAAAAAAAAAATCCATTCGCTCCGAACTGAGTTGGAGAGCTCAGGGCTCTTTCGCCGGCTGCGCGCTTCGTTCGGTCTCTGGTGCCTGAAATCTAGGACAGATTGTTGGAAGGAAAGAAAGACAAACAGTCGCCAAACGTGTGTGGGGGCGGGGGAGGTGGGGGACAGGGCGGGTGATGCTTGTGTGCGCAAGATCGCTACAGGAAAGCCTCAAGAAATTGTAGCTCTGGATCTGTTTCTCCATAAGGCCTGGGTTGGCAGCTGCGAACCCTAGACTGCAGTGACAAGGCCGCGATCGCACAGTGTCTAGCCCCATGGCCGCCTGATTTGATTCCCTTCGTCTTTATACATTTTTACAAATTGTAATTTATTTTTATTAACTCAGATAGGAGGGAGAGGTAAAAAGAAGAGTTTAAGACAAGTGGAAAAGGTAGGGACTGGAAGGGAGGAGAAAGGAAGCAGCAACCCTAGTGTATGACTCTGCCCAGTATGCCTCAGACATTTGATGCCCTTGGTCCCCAGTTAGGATGTCTCCTTTCCATATTACTTGCAAAGTAAAGCAACCAAATAATTACACCTCTTCGTGACTGGATTTGGCCCTTGCCCACCCTCACTCCTCAGTCTACTTCTGTTATTTCTCATTCATTTAATCTTTTAGCTAATAATAAACATCTTTTACGTTTGGGAAAGAAGCCAGGTTTCTGCCTGTTTGGGAAATTCCGAGACCACCTGGTGAGCGTGAACTTTAGGGGCCAAGAACAGTCGCGTGTGTATGACAGTGTTCACCTCCCTGGAGCCAGGGATAAACCCCTACGAAAGCAAAACAATTGCCCTGAGTCACATTTTTAGTCGTGAAAACCAAATGCAATGATTAAAAAACTCCAGTGAGTATGTGTGTATGGCGCTTGTAGAAAGTAAAAGGAGAGAGAGAATAAAGTCTATTTAAAGAATGAGCTTCTGACACGTAGGAAGTTTTAAGTTTATAATTTAAAAATAAATTTGAATATTTT